TACATGGAATTTCATACAAAGATACTTTTCTACAGGCAACACACACTGACAAACAAAAATGTTGAATTTCCCATTTTTAGTAATCATAGGGAGTCAACATGTCACATAAAGGATAATGTTAGGGCTTTTTGACAATTACTTCACCATATTTGTTCAATTTATGTGGGATTTGGTACAAAATACTTTCTTGCAGGTCCAAGCAGTGATATAGACAGTTTTCAGTTTTTTTATGTCAAAATTGACCATGTTGGGATTGCAAAGCAGAGACATGTTGGCCTCTTTAATTATGTTCTATATCACTAGCAAAAATTTCTCCATTCCACCCTACACTGCTTGTAACGATATAACCTTACTGATGCTGCTTCTGCTTAGCAGCTAGTTGGGTCACAAAGCTCTTTATCTCAAAAATTGATGGAAGTTTGTACCCAAGGTGGGTCGTCTGCCTCTAATTACTTTAAGTTTATGGAACTTATCAGCTCCACTGCAATCAGAAAACACTCTGGATTTGTCTGTATTAAACCAAAATTTTTCTTTCATACTGAGCACCTCTGTCTGCTTGGATGTCTAACCAATCCAATTGCAAATTCACATGTATTTGTAAAGTTTGAAATGTAAACTATGCTAGCCAAATCAATATCCCTACTTGATGAGACACTTTCCTTGGGACTTGGTAGCATGCATTTCCACATTAAAGGAACAGTGGTTTACTCTTTATAATATCAAAATGTTTCTCACTTTACTGGGCGTGTATTTTCTTGTATATGCATTGTATTCATTCCTTAAGCTTTTTTATATACTTTTTTATTATGAAACCTCATGCATGTCTGGGCTTGAAATTAACACTAGCACATTCATGGTTAGTATTGCAACATTAATAATTGAAGAAGCCAACATTTTGGGGCAAATGCAATATTTCTCCACCAACATAGCCTATTTTGTTACCTGAAAAATTGTAAAAACAGAAAAATCAAAAACTGTCTATATTACTGCTTGGGACCTGCAAGAAGGTATTTTTTGTACCAAATCTCATATAAATTGGTCAAATAAGATGGATTAATTGTCAAAAAACCCCAAGATTGCTTTTTATGGCATTTTGACTCTATTATTCAAAATGGGCAAGTACAACAATTTTGTTCGTCAATGTGTGTTGTCTGTAGAAAAGTATCTTTGTACCAAGTTCCATTTAAATTGGCCAAAGTATTGGCCCCAAACCCAAAATTATATTTTTTTGTGAGCTCTGAACCTCCCCTAAAAAGCCTCAAAATGGATAAGTTTATTTATTTTTATTTTTTTTGTATGTTGCAGTGTTGGTGCATAAAAATTTATATTTGTGCCAATTTTCATCTTGATTGTTGTAAATATAACTGCACTGGAGCCTAAAATATACATTTTTTTGGGTTCTTTGACCCCATAAAATTCTTAAAAAGGCCTAAATACAATAAATCAAAAAGGCATCTTAGCCTATTGGACCAAAGTATAACCCTACCAATTTTCAAAAAATGAAGGAATGGTGGTCACTTAAAAAGTGTTTGGAAAAAGAAGAAACAATAGAAAAACTATATATTTCTCTGTGGAGATACATTAAAACGTAAAAGGCATTAGAAAAAATAGTAACTCACTTCAAAAGGAAGATTCAGAAATGCTTAAGTGCCCTTCAATCGTATATATATTGCAAGATTCTAAGCACAGAAAGCTACTATAATTGTGCAGTTAAAAAGGATTGTTTCACTTGCACGTTTTGCAATTCCCGTTTTAGCTGCATGACATATAAGGCTAAGTATCAGGAAATAGGTATAGGGAAATCAAAGCTTCAATTCCTTTAATTAGTTTTCAAGACAGCAGTGGGTCAGCCATATATAGACTCTCACCATTTGGCCTCTGCAGTGAGTTTTGCAAACAGCATCATTACAAATACTGTGCTGAAGTGGTTACTTGTTGGAGGTAATAATATGATAGAAATCACATAAACTGCAATTGTTGTTGTTTTCTACATTCCTTTTAATTTGTCCCTTACTAATACAAATGTTAGACTTTTTGGCTTCTAATGCTTCACCAGCTTTTGAAATTTAAACCATAACTTTTAATAACAAAATACTTTTTTAGTATAGGTTTGTCACAAGCAGTATGGTATTGTGGACCAGTGATTCCCATCCACAGGTTTGTTGACCAGTATTGGATCCACAGAGAGATTTCACATGATCTGCAAGATAGCTAAAAAAAATTAAATGTAGTTACTGAAGTATATTGCTTTACAATGTAATTTAAAAGTATTTTAAAAAGTTAATATTGTATAACATGGTTCATGAAATGTTGGGATCAGAACCAGTTGATCCTTAGAAAAATGTTTGGAACCACTGCTGTAGACTTTGTTAATCCAGATGCATATGGCATATATATATATATATATATATATACCAGTTTCCACCAAGTTTTTGTGAAATAATTCAAATAGAAGTCCTGTTACATGTAATTCAAGTATGTTTTCATATTTATAAATGTTTGAAAAGATAACATGACACAGAAGTAAAGTTTACTGATTAGTGGTATTTGCTAATTGATAAATCAACAACTTCATTAATTGATTAGTACAACGTTCCTCAAACAGTGGTACTTACAAGCAAAAGATAAATAAATATATAGAATTTTAAAAAAAGTTGGTACCACTATCAGCCATTTGCCTTCCCTTTAGTCAGTAGTTCAAAATTTGTGATGGTGGCAGATAGACTTAGTAGCTTTTGCTGTAACTTAGACAGGATGAGCAAGTTTGGTGGCAATATTTCAATTACTTGGAATAATTGAAAATAGTAAAAGTTTGAAACTGTAATTTTGATTACTTTGTGACAATCATTTTAATCATAATTTCAATTAAGCAGTTGTTGGAATAATCAAAAACAGTAATAATTGTAAACACTGATTTTGATCAGTTGATTGGTTTTGTATAATTGCAATTGAATTGGAATTTTAATTAATCAATTTAATCACAATTTCAATTAATTGATTAGTTTACTTGACACTAATTGATGTAATTGCTGCTCACAGGTAGTAACTGCTCAGCTCTACACAGAATATATATATATATATATACATATAAACAGGATATATAAATGGTTAATAGCATTTAACACATGAAATAATTAATGATCACACACTTACAGTTAATTTTACAGAAGACTAATGTTGCTAGTAGCAGTCCCAAATTTGCTAGTGGTAAAAAAAGAACTGAAACACTAGAAACAATGTTAATAAAAGTGAGGAAACTTTAAGAACTAAACCCTTCTTCAGGTGATAATGCTTGGAGATGGCTTGAATAGGTAATGAAGAAAAACTTTAATATAAGTTCAGGTGATGTTTTTAGTAACATTGTATCTAGTGTTTTTATTTTTTTCCTTTTTGGGAAAAAATAACTAGCAATTATTTGTTACTGTCTTCTAAAGTTAGGGTGAGGGCCTGATGCATATATAGATAAAAAGATTGATGACCAAAATTGTATTTATTTTTATTTTTTTGTGCTTGTACAAGCAACATTAACAGTCAAACATGGCAATGGCCCAAAATGAAATAATTAATGTTGTGTTGTTAATTTTTATCTAAAAATCTGATCTGTAGATGACTTAAATATAAATTAATAATAATTACAAATCACTTGTTTAGTCTGACTCACATCCTCAAAATTGTTTGTCATATTCCAGCCAACCTGGAATGACTGCTTAAAACTGGCAAGTTTCTAGGAGCTAATGGGAAAGAAGCTAAATCAGCAAAACTTTTCCTTGTGCTTATAAATCATTGTTTGCCTACCTGATATTATATTAGCATAATGTGCTTCCTTACTCAAGCACACATAAACCCTTAAATACCAGGTAGGACCAGTAGTTCCACCTATTTCATGTACTGTCTCAGAAACAAAATTGCTACAAGTGAAGATTACCATTGTTAGTCTATCTGGCTCAAGATAAGTTGTTTTATTTAAATCTTTTAAATATGAATGAAAAGATAGTTAAGAGAGAAGAATATAATAAAAAAAGGTTTAAAAATCTGTATATTTTTTTAAATATGAAAGAGCAGATACTTGATAATTTATTGGCCTATAAATTATGAACATGAAATAGGCTTCTGTTCTGCTCAAACTAGATAGAAAGCTTTGGTCACTTCTGTAAAACATTTGAAAGACAGTATAAAAAATAATGTTGGAAATAAAAAAATCAAGGTATGTTTAGTTTCCACATAGATAAATGAACTTCCATTGGTAGATTTAGATGTGATTACTTACAATTTGTTAATATATTTAGTTATGTTGTTGAGAAATTAATACGATACTCCAACATTTGTTTCAGGCACTTTTAATGGCTTAAAATTGCAGTATTTACAATATGGTAACTTTGTATCAGCTAGCTATGCTCATTTACCAATCATAATTATCTTAGAAAACAACAGAAAGAGATTTCACAGAGGTTGTCAATACCTCTTTATGACCGATATCAGCTAACTTTATGTTTCAAAGCAATAACTATGTTGTTAAGGTCCTCCACGATTTGGTTTTGTGATTTTAAGCATCTAAAACATGGTTTTCCAAAATTATTTTGAAATGAAAGATGTCTTAGTAATGAAAAATTTTATTTGTTTAATGGAAATGTATACATGTCTTCTCACTCAGAAGGGTGGCCTAAATGGATAATAATAATAATATGCCTCAATAAAATAATTCTTAAGTTACAATAAATCCAATTCCTATATAATGTTGTTAACTGAAACGTATGTATCAAAATCATGCATAAATCATTTCCTTCAGTGAGATAATTGTTGAAATGAATTTTTGTTAAGAATTGCAAAAAAACTAACAGTAACCATTTTTAAGGTATTTGTTTTCAATCCAATATTATCTTGATTATGTTTCACTCTACACTCAAAGTTTTGTGGCTTTGCTTTAATAATTCAATGGTAAATGTAGAGAACATATATGACCATGGTAAATTTATTTGCAAAATTTTTTTTGTTTAATATAGGACCTGAAAACTTCACCATCACCATAACTCCAGAACTATCGACTGCCATAACTCTGTATTTCAGGTAAGGTACTGTCCTACACAACTTTGGCATGAATCATTTTACTCTTCACTGAAACATTGTGAAACATTTTTTGACATTAATATTGTACAGTAAACTATAATAACCATTTAATATTTACCCTATATTTCACCTCTGTGCCATTCCATAAACTTGAATTTAAGTATAGGGTAAACTTTATTTATTTGTACTTTACTTTTTGGTCAGTTTCAGGCTAAATATATAATAACTTTATATGAAATTCATTATTTAACCTGGACTTCTAAAATATATCTTTCTGTTGGCCTGATGTTCAAACTCATACTGGGAAACCACTCTAAGCATGAATTGACTGAAAGGTGTTTATTTAATTCTTTTTTTCAACAAAAATCTCACTGCTAGTCAAAAAATCAGATATTGATTAATAGTCAAATATCCATAATTATAGAAGCTAAAGAGGGAAACATTATGTCATCATATATATATTTCTGAATTTAAAATATTCAATGTAAAGTAATATAATTTTTGTGAAGTCAGCTATAATTTTAGGAAAATATAAACTCCTTAAAGCTATATTTGTTTGTACTTTTAGAATAAGACTTTCCCATGTTTTTTATTTCTTTTACAAGCATTCAGTTGTAAAAACAAAAATCATCTTTGACTCTTCCAGCTCTGTTCTATGCTTTTACTGTGCTGTCCGAAGTTAATAGACAGTTTTCTGTATTTAGCTTATGATATTGGTATCTTATTAATTTCCTGTGTTTCTACTAATATTTTACTAGTTTTTAATGCTGAGTTGATGCTTCTTGTATTTTAATAGGCTGTCCAGACTTAATATGGTTTTCTGTGTTTAGCTGGTGTTTCTGGTATCTTACTTGTTTTCTGTGTTTATCTGGTTCTACTGGTACATTACTAATTTTCTGTGTTTAACTAGTGCTACTGGTTTCTTACTACTTTTTTGTATTTAGTTTGTGCTACTGTTATCTCACTAGTTTTCTGTATTTAGTTTGTGCAACTGTTATTTTACTAGAGTTTTTGTTTAGTTTGTGCTACTGTTATTTTAATAGTTTTCTGCTTTTAGTTGGTGCTACTATTATGTTACTAGTTTTCTGTGTTTAGTTGATGCTACTGGTATCTTACTAGTTTTCTGTATTTAGTTGGTGCTACTGTTATCATACTATGTTTCTGTATTTAGTTGGTGCTACTGTTATCATACTAGGTTTCTGTATTTAGTTGGTGCTACTGTTATCTTACTAGTTTTCTGTATTTAGTTGGTGCTACTGTTATCATACTATGTTTCTGTATTTAGTTGGTGCTACTGTTATCATACTAATTTTCTATGTTTAGTTAGCATTACTGGGATCTTACTTGTCTTCAGTATTTAATTGTTGCTTATGGTATCTTACTATGCTGTCCACACTTTAACCCTCTTGATATAGGTGGGTAAATGTGTGAATCACAACTTTTTACAGAGTTACAATCAAAATTTAATTAAACTACTTGTTAACAAGGAACCCACTTTTTGGAAAATAAAAGCTTTGACACAGCTTGACTGGTTAATGAAAAAACTATTATAACTGTACGACATTATGACAATATCTTGTCATCCTCAGTTACAATTAGTTTACAGAGATACATGAGTTTTTATACAGTATAGAACAAAGAGGTCACATGACCAGATATTGCTTCACAGTCTAATATAGATATCTTGGTACCCTGGGGTATTGATTTAAGGTGAGGCTGTTTTGTTCAATTAAGATAGCTTCTTTTATTTCATGTTTATTGATGTTAGGTTCTTTGTTTAAAATTACAATGTTTTCTTTGGATATACTGTAGTTTTTTGAGTTGTAATGGTGGTAAACATGGGAGAAACTTTTATTATGTTCAGTGAATCTGGTTTCCAGTTTTCTACCTCTTTCTCTGAAGTAAAATTCTGGACAGTTATTGCATGTTATTTTATAAATGACGTTGGAATTGTGTTATTCTAGGTAATTTTTATTTAATAATGATTTTAGTTTAGTGCTGGGTTTTAGGGTGAATTCGATATCAACAAGAATTTTATGTTTGGCAAATTTTCTCCAAGTATTGATTATTTTTGAGCTGATGTCAGGGATAAATGGTAAACTGCAGTGTAATGTTGTGTTGTTGTTTGGTGTATTAGTGTCAATTTTGTTTGCGAGTTGAGTTTGAGGTTTTTGTTCTGGTGGTTGTGTGGAAATATTTTGACAATGGTTAGTGGAAATTTGTTGGTGTGAATGAAGAAATGCTTTATAGAGTTGATTTCTTCATCTATGTATAAGATTTTTTAGTATATTAATTTTTTGCTTGGATTCGTGGGCAGAATTCCAGGGAATGTAGAGGCCTGTGTCAGTGAATGTTTGGTTTTCAAATGTGTATCGGATCTGATAATGTTGAGGTTAAGAAAAGACAACTGTTTGTTATATTTGTGTTCAATGTTGTATTTAGTGTTAAGGTGAATGGAGTTTATGTGTTCAAAAAGTGTTTGTGTGTTCTATAAAAGTTAATAAGTCAAACTTTAATATTATACAAGTTTTAATTTCTTAAAATTAAAAGGAAATATTTAGACTAATTCTCTATTTCTGCTTGTCAGTCTAATGTGACCTTTGTTTGCCCTGCATTTCTCATTTTCAACTTTTTAATCACCCATCTGTAGTGTCTTGAGTTTAACATAATATACTCATCATAGTATAGATATTACTAAGACATAGTTTAATTTATATATGCTTAGAAACTTATTAGGTTAGATAACAAAAAATAAAAACATTTCTCCACAAGGTATGTTTGTGAGTAGCTTGTATATTACATTGTTCAGTACCATAATTTGAGCTACACATTTACTGTGTGATTTAGGGAAGAGTGAGGTAGAGTAAGACACAAAAGTTGTTTCTCCTCATAATTTACTAGTTTTGTACACTAACTAACTCAAAATAAGTTCAAATCAGAAAATATGTGGCTGGACACACAATATGTAGCACAAAAATGGTTTTTGTCTGGAACAATTGTGTCGGTACTGGTCATTCTGTCAAGTATGGTACCTGTAGTCAATATTTCAATTTGCACTGTTGTTTCCAAATATTCAGCCAGTGAATCTGACCAGTTAGCTTTGAAAACAAAATCAAACAGGTACAGTATAATCAGCAGTCAAAAGTTCTCAAGCAACACTGATAAAGCTCTCAAACAATGGATGAACATGTACTCAAGCTTGATGGCCTTGATGAAACTTGCAAGAAAAACTTAGGTATGGGGTTGTTTATTTCTGCCCCAGTCCCTATGCTGCCTTTTGCAGTTTTCCTGCATTACCAATTTCTTTGTTCAAAATGCTAATTTAAAATATTCTAACAGTTCAGCTATATATACATATATAAATACTCAGAAATGTTCAGAGCCTAGGATTTTGTTATGAAGAAAATATGTATACTAAAGACAGTGACAGTTCAAAAATTGATTAAGGAGGACTTAGCAAAAGAAAAGAGTAGCATTTGATTAGGCTATGATACTGACAAAGATAGACACATGGAAAGGCTGTATTACATTTTAAAAGACTTTTCAAATGCCTGGATTATTGGCATTGAGAACTTCAAGTTATCCAACCAAAAAGACCATTCTAATACAAAGTGCCACCTTTGACCTTTCCAGTTCTATACTAATAATGAGTTTAAATCAAGAGAACAAGTACATTTACCACAAAAGCTAGTACCTGATCCTGTCAAGGGATTTGCTCATTTTACAGATGTCTAAAAAGAACAGTTTAAAAAAGTTTGATGTTGCATATTTTTTGCAAAACATGAGCTGCCTCTCACTGTGTATGAAGAGTTAATTAGGTTAGAGAAATATCATTGCATTGACATTGGTGATATATACATTAATCACATCCAGTGTGATGGGTTTGTCAATTTTCATGGCAAATATATCTAGCAGATAAACAGGAGAAGGTTTTGCAGTGAGCAAAGTTTTACAATGTTTTGTTAGATGGAGCAACAGATGCAGTGTAACAGAGAAAAAGGTTGTCTATATGTTGTATTGTGACCTGCATCATTCTGAAGAGCATGAGTCAAACTCTTGTTTCTTTATTTAAAAGATGTCAAGAAAGCAGATGCAGCAGGAATTAAATCAACTGTTAAATCAAGCTTTGCTTTTCTGAGCATACCAGAAAATCAGCTGTATTTAAAACTTGTGGATTTGGTGCAGATGAAGCCTTGGTGAATAGTGGGAAAAAAGTGGTATGAAGGGCTTGCTTCAAGAGAAATCACCATGGTTAATTTTTCAATAGTGTGTGGCTCATACATTAGAGCTGGCTATGAAAGATGCTCTTCAGCCAACATACTTCAGGCAAGTGGACGATATACTCATGAAACTGTAATATATCTACCATAAATCCCCTAAGAAAGTTGTCAGTATTTTAAATAAAATATACATATATATATATATATATAACTTTCCTTTTTTGCCAATTATCAAAATGAAGGGCTTTTGGTTATATATCTTAATAATCTAAATATATACTATATTATTGTTGGGCTTAGGATTCTTCTATAGTAGGTGTCTGTGACTTGTTAGTGATAAATTCAACGATGAATAAACAGCACGCACTTCACTTGTTTTCAAAATAATATATATATATATATTCAGAATAAGTTAATGTATGTAAAATAAATTCTTCAACACTATAGATATCATGGGCATATCATAAATACTATATATGTAGTTCTCTCCTTCTTATCAAATATCCACTTAGGCCTATTCAGTTACTTTAGAATTTCAGTTGACAAGCCGGACTATCTTCATTATTTCTATCGCACTAATATTCTCTTGATTCACTTACAATTGTGGCTCAAGTTACTGTAATCATTTGGTGATCTTTCTTCTGAAGATCCTCTGTTCCTTTTATTAAAGTGCACTCAGGCTGATTCAGTTACTGTAGAACCATGGTTTGATGGAATGAAATTATTTTTCTTATCTTCTTTTCTACTGTTAGTTTTACTCTATCATATTATGTGTTAGGC